TTTTTTTTCCCCTTTGGCCAAGTTTGTGACTTAAAGCACTGGAAGAACACTTGCTGGCAGAAGTTAACTGGAGCTGGCAGCCAGAACAGAGAGGGCAAGAGCTAAGTGGCAGGGTCAAGGTGGGGAAAAGAACAGGACAATAGCAAGGTGTTTCATGAGCTCACTGGCTCTTCTGAAACTGTACCTGTACAGCTCTGGGGTCTTAGGATTTAACAGTCACAGCACTGAGCTAATTCTGACTCTTGCTTCAGAGATGCACTTAAGATGCAAGCTACAGCGTTCTTCCTTCCAACTGAATAAACTGGGGGGGTGAAAAAACTCAGCCCACACATCTCCTGACAGACATTCCCCCAAATGCTTGTCTCAAAAACTCTTTCAGCCCTTCCTCCTGTGTCAGCATTTTCCATATTTTCTTTTGGTCCTTCTTCAGCGTTTGAACATCCCAAAGGAACGGAACGCAGGTGCAGTACTGAGTAAAGCAGGGTGATCATTTTTTGGGAAGTCTACCCTGAATACACATTTCAGTCACATTATTCATCATGACAAGAGATGCACAGTATCTCTTGAAATATATAATACCTGAAGACAGCTTAAAGAAATGTTATCACATGTCAGATTTGCCACGTTATAACAACAGAAAGAAAACAGATTTTTTTCAGAAAATATCTATAAATAAAATACCTTATCAATGATACTGTCAATTTTTCCTTCTTCAACAGACTTCTTTATTGTCTGTGCTGTTTCAGCAACGGATTCGGATATCTTTTTTGTAGCAGCAGTGGCAAAATTGAAGAGGTAACCTTTCACAGAGAAAAAAAAGAAAGACCTGAGAAAAGATCTCTTTACATCCAGTTCTTTTAATAGATTTATTTTTCCTTCTCTTTAGACATCTGGATACCTACTTAAAAGTTTCTTTCAAAATGACTTAACCCAGCTTCTGGCCTCCAATGAACTCCTAAAATTCTATTTATCCTTTTTTAGTATATATTCTTTAATGATGATGATCAAACTGTATGCTTGATCACAATATTCTGTAAATCCCACTTTTATATATGAACCTTGTTTACTAAATCAAACATTCCTCCTGGTCCTTGAAATATTGCTTTCCAATGAGTCTTCTGAAGCAATGGGTCTTTCCTGATTTCATATAAGCATGTCAGAGACATGAAGCAATAAATAAACTTCGTCACAGTATTAAAACATTATATATTATTATATATAGTAATAATTTTATAATACATAATTTAATATTAATAACTATATATACTTTTAAAAGAAAACCAACAGGCACATTAAAATCTCATAAAGTGAAGCAGAAAATCCATGAAAAATGTCATGCAAGTAACACTTGATATTCCTTCAATCCTAACATACAAGCCTGCTCTTGATGTTTGCCCTTATCTATTTTGCATTGCTTTCCTCTCTTTATCTCTATGAAAAGCACCATGGCCCTATTCACTTATTTTTCTGAATATATTAAGTGTCAGAACAACAGTGACAAATATTCCCAAAGACTCATATTTTTTATATTAGCTCAAGTGAAGAGAGGTGGCAGGGAAAACTATGTAGCGTGGGCATCTGTACTGTATTACTGGTTTTTAATTAAGAAAAACAAACTTGCAAGCAGCAAGATATATATCATAAACCTTCAGAAAAAGAACAACCTTCCTACTCAAGACCTCTCAAAACGTCTAGTTTCCTTACGGGTTAGAAATGTAAGAAATAATCTTACTATGCAAAAAAAAAATAGCAAGTTCCTTCAACACACAGTTGTTAGTCACTGGTAGAATGAGTTACTTTGGAACACTGATGTCACCTTTTGGAAAGCTGACTGTTCTTTGGGGTGTAAAAATATTCTCTTTGCTATAATATCACCAAATCAGTGCTGAAATATGCAGAGGTCTAGCCAGCCTTTAAGCAAGCCAGGTTTATATGTAACTTCCATTTATAGGCCGCAGAATGGTGGCAACCAACCATCTTTGAAGTACTTGCCAACATCTTTCATATCTGTTATCAGGCTTTACAACTCATCATGTGCTTCAAATACAAAAAAAAAATGCTTAACTTCTATACTTTAGATATAAATACATACACTATTCCCCTTAAAAAACCAGAGGAAGCAGAAGTCTACTCTATTGCTCACTCCCTACCAGCTTTTATTGGTTGTTTCATGTATCCCTGGAAACTTTCTCATATGCAATTGTGTTAGGTGCAAAAGGTGCTCAGACATTTGCTTTCTGGTGACATTCTGGTATTGTTGGACAAAGTAGTTCTGGCCAGTCCTTGAACCGGGCTGAAGAGCAAAATGCT